GCATGATTTAATATATTGTTTTGTATTTTTCCTAACCAGAGCACAGGTATTTTCAGCGATCTCCTTTGAGGTCTTACTAATTCCTCATAAAACCCTGAAAGCATTAACTTTGAAAATTTCTAATTCTTTGACCTGTAATGATTTTTTATTTTGACTCTGAAATTGATAATCATTCTAGTGAATTCACAGGAGTTTCTCGCGTAAATTCAGGGTCTAATAATCAGGTGCTTTATTACTACATTATTTATAGCATAATGAATGTTACGTTGACTGGATTATAAAAACTGACATCGTCAAACCGTTCTTTTGTGTGGTAACTACTTAATTTTAGGCCACTTGCTTACAGTTTTGGCTCCACTGGTCTTGTTAATTGGGGATAGTTATCATGAGGTAACTAGGTGTTGTTGAAATAAAGGTAAAAAGACATAAGGGACCATTTTTGCATGTTTATAATATTCTTAATAATCCACAGATTTGTCGGGAGTAACTGTTTGTGTTATTAAGGTTGTTAGAACTTCTTGAGTGTAGTTTTTCTGACCAGTCAAGTCCTATGCCGTTTGCATAATAGGGTCACGATTTCTACATAAAAAGTTTCAATGAAACAAGTTCTTTTGGCAGATTTACGGCCCTATGGCTGTTCTAGCAAACACCAAATGTTTCGGTTGTTATAATGTGAAGACGTAACTCGTGGAGCAAACGGAAGATCGTGTTTAAGGTTTGAAGAGCTAGAACGAAAGAGCCTGAATTGATAATGAACAAAGAAGAATTGTGGTTTCAGAAAGTTTTTGATCTCTGGGGATTAGATTACTTTTCAGGGACCAGGAAGATAAAGTCGTCTCTGGAAAGCTGGCTAAACAGTGCGTTACGCTTTATCTGTGTAATATTTTGTGTGCACAAAGAGCCTAAATAAGTGTTATTGTGAGGGGTGGAGGTTGGTTAGAATCCTGACAGTTTTACAAATTGCAATACCGATGAATTGACCAGCGTAGTTGGCCTAGAGTTTCTGGCCTTTTTTTAATCTATTTTCTTTTCATTGGTGAAAAAAACTATGTAAAAATAATATTTCTTTACCTAGTGTTCGCATTAAATTGCTTTCTACAAGCCAAGCCTGGCAAAAAATAAGAATATTTCTCAGTTTGAAAAGTGTCAGTCACCCCTAAGAGTAGTTCGAACAGAGGGTTTATTGGTTTTCTGAATAGATTTTTGGATTTTTTTACCCAATTTCAAAAAATGAAAATCTAATTTTCAAAACCGTCATAATCGTTCTTTGTTTAAAGTGGATTGAGGAATTGAGGGAAGTTAGTTTTTTTTTTCATTGGAATTCCAGATAGTTTTTATACCCACGCTGGTCTTCAGTTTTCTTGTACCTTTGTTTGTAGGAGAAGGATTTAAAAAAAGCTAGCGGGAAACAGAAACGCGTAAAGTAACAGACAGAATGAGTGCGAATAAGAAAAAGCCATTTCTTTTAAGTCGTCCCCCCTTCTCATACCCAATGCTTTTGACAGCAGAAAGGCCAGTAGAACGGTAAGCGACCAAAACATACCAGTTATCTGTTTTTTTTGGTTACTGATCGCTAAAGTCCGGTCAAAAAGTATACTTGGTGTTCTGCAAATTTCTTCTCTATATCTTTTAAGATTTTAATCAGAGAAAGATTTTAATCTTTTTTTTTTTCTTTTTTCTGAATGGATAGATCTACTCAAAAAAAAAAATAAAAAATAAAAAAAAACAGCATTTTCAATGGGCAAAGCAAGCCTGAATAAACCACCATTTTTTGCCTTTTTTTGAGTCCTAAACTGTGTTTTTCGGCCAATCAGTGGCAACAAATTTATTCTATTTTTTTATTTTCAATAATCTTGAATGCTACAACCAGCATTGTTAGGTAACAAGGTAAACCTAGCTTTTATTTATCTATCTTCGTGGTATAGCTCTGTCAAATACAACAAATGTATATTGGGATGTCTGAAATAAATTTCTTGCAATATGCTACGAGTTCAACTTTGTGCTCATATTTACGCTTATCAGGCCATTACTACTCGCTTAATTTTGAAGAATAACATTTTCATACTCGTTTTTCAGCATGTGGAATTCTGCAGCTTATCATAAGGTACTGAAGTGATATAGTTGCGGGATACCTTTTTGTGGCGGTAAGGGGGAACCCGAGTGAGATACTCTTTGTCACACTGCTGCAGTACCAAGACTTATTTTGCTGTTAAAGCAATTTTTTCGCCGTTACACATAATTTTCTGGAAACTCTGTGACGTCGATGCTTTAATAATGTACGCAAGCCACAAACGTTTAAGCTGATGGATGACGATTCAGTAAAAGTGGTGTTAATCATGTTATTTTTCTATCATAAGAGCGTAAAAGGTGAGAAGTTTTGCAAAGCTGTATTTCTTCACTTAATCGTTTTAAAGAAAGAACGGCAGATTTTACAGGCATTTTCTGCTGCTTTTCAATTTTAGTTGTTTAGTCCCTCATTAATACCCTTATAGCGGTCGCAGTTTCACATAAAAGTAGGGTCAAAGTCTAGTATCAATAAATTGTCAAAAATATCAATTAATAGCATAATTTAAACACCAAGCATCAAGGTAAGCTGTTGCTGGTCAACAGTAATGGCCGACATTATTGAATAATCTCATACTGCATTTTCATATAATGTAAGGGAAATTATAAAATGTCATAGCATTACCGTAATGAAATATAAAAAATTTTTTTTTTGCGGTTTACTTTATAGCATTCATAAAATTAACAGGTGCTGACTACAGTTACTGTTGCCATTGCTTTTATTTACTCAAATGATTTAGCAGTTTTATCTTTATGCCAATAATTTTTTCTTTTTCTTCTTTTATTATTATCGATAGCAGATAAGTAAGAAACGATGGTGAAATTGATTTGTCAATTTGTTTGCAACGATTGTTGCTCGTGTTTGGATAAGGCTATCAGTGCAAAAATTAGTTCAGATCTTATACTCGGATATACGTCTACTAACCCCATGTACCATAGGTGTTTTTTTTTTTTTGAATATGTACGCAGATAACCTAAAATCTCTATAAAATGGTTAATTTCAATCAGTGGCGGCACTGACAAAGACAACCCACTGCGTCCCACAAGATGAAGGTGTGCTCCGTAACCAAAGCTCTTCTTTTGATCTTTCAACGAAGATCCTGCTGTCAGAATGCTTCTTTGTCTCTTTTTTTTTGTTTTAAAGATGTACTTTTCAAATATACTTGTTCTTTTTTTCACTTACTAATTTCCTAAAAACTTTTTATCTCAATTTTTGTATAGGTCTTTATTCTCGATGATTATCATCTGTTGCATTTCAGTTTCTTATGTTTCTGCTTAAACATAATTTTATTCTGCAGGAAGAAAGTGGTAACTAAAGTAATTGTATTTTCAAAAATCTGATAACCAAAAATTTTATTTCTTGAAATTGTGTTAATATTTTTGAACAGGAAAACGAAAGAAGCAAAAAGAAATTATCCTAAAAATTTAGAAATGATTCATTCTTAAACATCAAAACTATAATTTATAAAAAAACGGAGTTTGAAAAACTGAAGGAAAGGTAGTACGAAATTATACTCAAGCGGATGCTGTGGACCATGCTCAAACCAATCTCTTCCTGTTTTCAGAACAGTACACACTCACTGCAGCTATGTAATACACTACTGTTAAATCTGTAGTTGAAGAACTTTAATTTTGATGAAATCTTAAAAAGTTTTATTCCTGCTTGCAGCAAACTACTGGTTTACCTTTGCTGATGCTCTTGATACATTGCATTTACAAAGACAAAAAAACACTTACTCTGTCACCAGTTTGGAATTTTATAGGTGCATCTTTTCCGGTTTATGGTTTTCTCGGTTATAAAATTCACCCCAAAGTTTTATGCGGTCTTTTAATGAAGATTTGGACACATCACTTTGACAACTTTATGAATTTTTTATTTACAGAAGGAATCATTTTGTCTGTAACAATTAGCCGTAATAAATACTCTTTTTTATTCATAACTCTGCTGCTGGGAACAATACAGCTAAAGCTTGTTAACAGCATTTTAGCCCCGAATGTTACCAAAAGTAGGTTTTATTTAATTCTAACTGTTGCTTTTATTGCTCTATAAAATTCTTCAGTAACAGTTTCACATTAAAATCTATCTATTGCTTACTGTCAAGAAACAACACTTTAAATCTGTCGAATCTCGTCGGGTACATACAACTTCCTATGTATTAACAATGTAGAAAAAAAAATTTAGATTTCTGTATTTACAAAAAGAAAAAAATCACAGTTATTTTTAAAAAAAGCGATAACTCATTTCGCGGATTTTCATCTTGCTGTGCTTCAGAAACTGTAGTCTCATTTAGGTGCTTCTGGAACAGATACTTTAGTGACTTTATACGTGCATGATAGCGCCAACAAAGAAGAGGATTATTTTATAGAAGATGTAGTGAAAGAAG